TGAATATTTAAATCACGGCAAACGATTAATTTACATGACAGAGAAGATAAGGATCAAGATTAAATAATAATAATAATAATAATAATAATAATAATAATAATAAGAAGAAACAAAAATAATAATAATGATAGTAATAATAATAATACAGGAGCATCAAGAATAAATTAAATATATAAATAGTACAAAACACATTTACCGGAGAAGGAAAATGTGTCCACCTGCCGCCCGACCGACAGGTAAGTCAGGGTAAAGCGTTCCAAAAATCCCTCCTCACAATCCCCGTCTCTGTATTTTCTCGTCTACAACTCAAGCCTCCCAGTCCACTACACTTCCCTGTGTCACTTGTAGTAGACTATAAAAACACTGATGCGAACCGACGACTTTCAAGAATAAGGTCGAGAGCACTATCCACTCAGCCACCGCATCACTAACTCCGATTAATGAGAGATCAAATTACCTGAATAATTAAGGACAACAAGTTAAAGTACCACGATAAAGCTTGTTAATGAGAAAAAAGTTTAAGTATCTGGATAAAGCCAATTAATGAGAGCTTAATTACCTTACTAATTAATGAGAGGGAATTTTACTACCTGGATGGAGGCCTGAAGGATTGAGCCAATACTCGTCCCTTTCTTACCCATTTACTGCTGCTATCTATGATGATTATATTACACGTTTTTCAGAGATAATCCGAGAATGGTGAGGCGACCGAGTGAACACAAACTTCTATTTAAACCCTGCTTAGTTATTTACTTTTAATAAACGGACTGAGTTTATATTACCATTACTATATCTAAATTCCCAATGCTGATAATATTAACATTACCTTTATTAGTTCTGATGATAATTTATTTACTTGGGTTTTGTTGATATATTTTTACTGTTTATTTACTTATAATTCCAATTATATTTTTGGTCTTCTTCTGCTTGAATAATTCCCCCTAAAATAATTGTGCGATTATTTAATTCAATTTTATATTTATTAATTGACAAAAAACAAAAATAGCTTTTTTATAATTATTTCTCAAGAGACGTTTGTTGTCAAGTGCTGAAACTGTGACCAGGTGAGTGGAGATTAATTACCCTGACCTCGAAGCACTTGAACACAAAACACCTAACCTAACCTAACCTAACCTAACCATTCCATCCCACCTAACCTACCCTAACCAAATGCACCTAATCTAACCATCTAATCCAGCCCATCCCAACCGAATCTAACCTAACCACTTAACAGACTCCGCCTCCTTGTTACAGCGTCTATTTAACTGAGATTATCCAGTAAACTGCCTGCCGGAATGGCCACTCTCGCCTCCTTGTAGAGAAACACTGTGTATAGCTGGAGGTCTGGGCCTTGTAGAGAAACACTGTGTATAGCTGGAGGTCTGGGCTGAGTATGATGGTAAAACAAGTATGATTATAACAAGTATGATGATATTATAGTTAGTATGAAGGTGCAGAGGTATGATTAAAGTATGATAGTGTTAAGGCCAAGTATGATGGTAAAACAAGTATGATTATAACAAGTATGATGGTGTTCGAGTGTGATGGGTACAAAAGCATGATTACATTAAGCCAAGAAAGATGGTACTGTAGTAAGCATGATAAACACACACACACACACACACACACACACACACACACACACACACACACATGCTCGGCGCAGAATACTCCGGCTACACCAGAGCTCTCTCCACCCTGGAAATGCCATCCCTCAGTGACCTCCACCACCAAGCACTGGAAAGGTTTGGCCGTGGACTACTGCACCACCCTCGCCATCTCCACCTCCTGCAGCCCCCCACCCAACTCGCGCAGTCCGCCACTACAACAAAATTCAGCCCATAAGAGCCCGCACCGATAGATATAAGAACAGCACCATCCCATCTATTGTTAAAATAATAAACAACTCCTGATTTATGCTGTACAGCCCTGTAAATGTATTCAATGCATATTATATCATTATGTCTAAATCAAATGTAAGTCTGTATATTTTCAGCCACCGGCTGCAACTCTATTAATAAGCCGTTTATTATTATTATTATTATTATTTACACACACACACACACACACACACACACACACACACACACATTTGGCCAGAAGCTTCTGCACCATCCTCGACACTGCCTCCTACTACCACCCGAGATCCCTCGCCCGAGAATTGCTGTTCGACACCACAACCACATCCAGCCCATACTAGCACGAACTAATCGCTATAAGAACAGCCCAGTCCCAACCATTGGAAAAATTATCAATAACTTGTAATCAATCAGTGTATTCACTCCCAGTCAATCTTACTTTTTGCACTGTCACTATGTTGATATGCCCTGTAGTATGACCTTCTCCCCACCTAGTTATTATATATCATATTTGTATCACTTCTGTTACTTGTATATTATTTGTAAATCAAGAGACCCATTCCCAAATTATGTAACTGTATATTTTCAGCCTTCCGGCTGCCATGCTCTTTCAATAAACCGTTAATTATTATTATTATTTTACACACACTTGCAATGATAAATTAGTAGTGTAGTTCAGACGCAATAATAATAATAATAATAATAATAATAATAATAATAATAATAATAATAATAATAATAATAATATCACATGTCTCTTGTGTACGTACAGTATACAGTATGTGTGTGTGTGTAAGGACCTCCGAGAGAGAGAGAGAGAGAGAGCCCAGACACAACTATTTTACACAAGAACACAGAGAAGTAGTAAACGACAACCCTGAACTAAAAAAAAAAAAAACAATTTATGAAGCGTTAAAAAATATTACATATTCTTTATTATTTTAACTAAGAGGTAAAGTAAGTCTTCCTCCAAGTATATTTATGAGGCAGGAAAATACTTGACTCACTCACGAAATAAAATAATGAGAGTTATTTTACTTTTTATTTGTTGTTATAAAAGATGTCCACCCTTCCCCCCGCGGCGCTCAGTCATGGACACGATTAGTATTTTTGGCATATTTTTTTTTCTTTTTTTTTTTGACGAGAAATATTTAAAAAAAATTTTGACGGACTACGTTGAGGAAATTATACTCTGGAGGATGTAATGTTCTATCCTAACTTAAGCCAACCTAATCCAACCTAACCTAACCTATCTTAAACTAACCTAACCTATCCTAAACTAACCAAACCTACCTTAAACTAACCTAACCTATCCTAAACTAACCTAACCTATCTTAAACTAACCTAACCTATCTTAAACTAACCTAACCTATCTTAAACTAACCTAACCTATCTTAAACTAACCTAACCTATCTTAAACTAACCTAATCTATCTTAAACTAACCAAACCTACCTTAAACTAACCTAACCTATCTTAAACTAACCTAATCTATCTTAAACTAACCTAACCTATCTTAAACTAACCTAACCTATCCAAAACTAACCTAACCTATCTTAAACTAACCTAACCTATCTTAAACTAACCTAACCTATCTTAAACTAACCTAACCTATCCTAAACTAACCTAACCTATCTTAAACTAACCTAACCTATCTTAAACTAACCTAATCTATCTTAAACTAACCTAACTTAACCCAATTTGAGCCAACCCGACGCATCTTAACCTAGGTTAACCCGATTAATCCCAACGTATGTCCCTATCTAACTTAATCTAACTTAACCAAACTTAATCTAGCCTAACTTAAATTAATCCTAAGCTAATCTAACTTGAGCTTACCCAACGTAACTAAACTAAACTAAACTAACCCTAAATTAACTTAACCTAACCAAACTAATCCAAACCTAACCTAATTTAGCTTAAACCAAACTAACCTAACCTAACCACCCCAACACACCGTAGCCTAACCTAACCCAACCTTAAAAAAAAAATAATAATAATAATACTAAAAATAAAAAAAATAAATTAAGAAAAAAATAGCCAATAAATATTAAAACAAGATAATAAAATAATTATTCCTTTATTCTGTTTAATTCTTAATATTTTCTTCTTGTTAGAGACCCAGAACACTGGTTACCTGACACTCTTCCCTGAGGATAATTCACGTCACCTGCAGAATACACTTTATGGCCGATTCTTTTTTTCTGGGTTTTTTTATTTTCTCTTTTGCGGGAAGGAGGGGAAGAGCAGGAGGAGAGAGACAGAGAGAGGGAGGGAGGAGGGGAAGGAAGAGAGGAGGAGGAGGGAGGATGGGGGGGAAGGAGGAGCAGAGCAGGGGAGAGAGACAGAGGGGGAGGGAGGAGGGGAAGGAGGAGGAGGATGAGGAAGGAGGGAGCAAGAGTAGGAGGAGAGAGCAGAGAGGAGGGAGGAGGGAAGGAAGAGAGGAGGATGATGGGGAAGGAGGGAGCAGAGCAGAGGGGAGAGAGACAGAGAGAGGGAGGGAGGGGGAAGGAAGAGGAGGGAGGAGGATGGGAAGGAGGGCAAGTGAGGAGGAGACAGAGAAGAGGGGAGGGAGGAGGGAAGGAAGAGAGGAGGAGGAAAGATACGAAAAGGAGAAGGAGGGTGTGGAGGAAAGGAAGTAAGAAGTAGGAGGAGGAGGGAGTATACGAAAGCAGGAGGAGAGACGAAGAAGCAGAGGAGGAGGGGAGCAAGTAGAGAAGGAGGAAAAAGGGAATAAGCGAAGGAAGAAGAGGAGAAAGAGGGTAGGAAGAGACAATTCACTTATACTCAGTAGCATTCTGAGACGATACACTTAAGTTCAAGACAATTCTAAGACTACATTCTTACCCTCAAGAATAATCCAAGCTAACACACTTAAGCTTACGAGAGACTTAAGACCGTACACTCACGTTCATTACACTTAACGTTCAACGAGGGTTTAAGACAATACACTTATGTTCAATATACTTATCTTCAGGAAAATATTAAGACGATACACTTATATTAATTGCACTTATCTTCAAGGGCATACTATGACTTACGTTAAAATAATCCAAATAATTTTTTTTCACCTGTACAAAAGCAGATAAATCTATTCAACATAACTAAAACTAATTAAGACATCTCAAGGTAAACTGACTCACCTGTTTTAAGACGAAATTTTTTATGGCAGCGACAAATCGATCTGGAAAAAAAAAAAATATTTGTTACTTCTTGTTGATTATATTTTCACGGATCAGAAATTAAGGATAATATAAATACGACCACATGACCAACATGGCAGTGGTTATGGCAGTCCCGAGGTCATATTTGAATGGTTTTATGATCAGTGTGTGTGGACGTGTGAGTTCTTAGTCTGTCTGTCACTTTGTCATACGTCCAATAAAAGGTCGTGAATGTAGTTTTATTCGTTTTATTTGTCCCACGAGCTATATGATTTTAGCTAAACATAATATTTCCTTAAAAACAATATGACTTGACTCAATTCAAATGACCCCCCAAAACAATATGGCCATTATGACTCAAACTTAAAATGACTTGACGTACACTATGAAAATCACCTAAAAGACTCTATGACCGACTCTATTCAAATCCAGTCACAGGCGCTACAGCTTGACTTTTGTAATAGAATAAGCTGAGAAACAACAACAACCTGCATCACCGCTCACTGGTTCTTGGGGTCACTATAGGGTGGTGGAGGAGAGATTGGGTTAGGTTAGGTTACGGTTTGGGGAGGGTAGGGTCGGGTAAGGGTCAGTCTGCCCAACCTTCATAGCGAGTGGATGTGCTGCGCATCGCTGTCAGCCTTGTTTGTCACGTAGGGTTCGCTCTGGCTGCTTTATCTTGTAGTTGTACATAGATATTATTATTCTTGTACACTGCGCTTCCTCCCTATCCTATCCTTTCGCCTAGAGTCCCTGCTGTTTGGTAACGACGCGAACCCTGCGGGCAGAGCCTCAAGGGGAGCTCTCAGAGGATTGCGGAGTCGAGACAATAAGGGTGGCAACATTTTCTGTTCTGTTAGGGATTCGGCAGTGCTTCTTAATCTGTCACTGTTAGGTGTTAGGGCTTGGCTAAGCCCCCGTCAGGGGATTGTCTGTTCACCCTACCCCTAGACGTGTCTTTACACGCCCAGCAAGCGGACAGAAGGAGCGGCATCCATGGGGTTTAGCTGAGGTGGACAGATTAGATAGGATTTTCATGTACGTTACTGACCATGGCCAAAGTGAGAGTGAAGATCTCCGGAACCCCGACCCAGGGGTCTCGGATAGGGCTAAAAGGGGTATTGAGCGACCTAAGGGTGAGAATAAATAGACTTGTGGATCTGAGAGATGGTTACACCATCCTCACAGAAACAGATGAAGATGCTGATAAGCAATTGGACACAATTAAAACCAACGGTTACGAGGTCATTGTCCCACGGGAATACGGCGCCAAGCTTACCCATGTATGTAAGAAGTTGGACAAAGATGTGGAGGAAAATAATTCAGAAGAAATAAGAGATGAAATAGAAAAGCAAAACAATGTCAAGGTTGTGGAGGTGTATCCTATGTATGCCCATAATATAATCAAGGTTCGCTTTGCAGACAACGGATGCAAAAAGAATGAAGGAGAAGGGGCTCTATGCCTCTGGCACTTCCATCTCATCCCACCAAATAGAATATGAAAAGTATACGCCCATCCAACAATGTATGAAGTGCTATAAATACAATGACCACATGACCAAGAGCTGCCCCATGCAAGGGGTCATATGCTCTGAGTGTTCATCTGATCAACACTTCTACAAAGACTGCCGTAGAACCATCAAAAAGTGTGTCGTCTGCGAGGGTGGCCACAGGACCTTCTCTGCCACCTGCCTGGTCAGGAAACAGGTAACTCAAGAAACAGAGAAGAAACTGACCGAAATAACCAAGCAAAAGGAAACCATGGAAATTTCTAACACCAAAGAAAAGACCACTCAGTCGACGATCATGGCTTCCAGCCAAATCCTAAAAGATGCTCTGAAAGAAACTCAAACAGAGTCCCAAAACTCAACAATGTCAGCGAGACCATGGAAGTCCTGCAATCAGGAATACGAACTACCAAGGACTCAATAAAACAGGCAGTTACTGAGTCATTGGGCGTCACGAGGGACGCAGTGGCGATGAGCATCAGGAGCGTCTCCTCTCCACAGCTGGACGAGTCCAAGGGAATAAGTGAGAAAATTCGTGATTGGGGGAGACAGCAGCATCAAGGTGTTGGCTGAGTTGATAGTGTGTGTGGAGAGGAGGGAGTGGTATCTTTCTTTCTTTCTTTTCTTTCTTTCTTTTGGTGGATAAATACACAGTTTCCCCCGTGTGCCCGTCCTCACCACAGTATTACCCTGCCACACCCATTACAGCGTAGTATTGCCTCATGTCAACAGTGGTATGAATATGCATCACGTTTTGTTTACCATTTTCAGGGTGTTTTTCCCCGCCAAATGTGTATTTTCTATTTCGTGGTGTGTGTGTGTGTGTGTGTGTGTGTGTGTGTGTGTGTGTGTGTGTGTGTGTGTGTGTGTGTGTGTGTGTGTGTGTGTGTGTACGTCATAAATATTTCCTGTTGTTAAGCCACCTGTATGACTGACTGACTGACTGACTGACTGATTTCTCTCATACTTTAATATACTCAGATCGTAATCACTCTTTGCCTTGCTCTTCTCATGGTTGTCAGGTGGCCAGGCGACTCATGTCAACAAGAGTGACTCAGATACGACCACAACCCGACCTATGAATGTTTTTTTATTCATGTGTATAAGTTAGTTCAGGGGTTCAATACATACCATACATACATACATACATACATACATACATACATACATACATCATTATTCAGGTAAAAAATTATATTCCTCTAAAAAAAAAAACACAATATCTTGGTGGTTCTTTAATCATCCTACAAGTTCATTAATGCGATGAAATAAAAGAAAAGAAAGAAAGAAAAGAAAGAAAGATAGAAAGAAAAGAAAGTTCCTTTTGTTAATGAATTACTAACCCTTGGTGTCTCCAGGTAAACATAACCTATATTATCACCGCCACAGTTAGCTATTTTCAGGGTTTCTTCTTGTTATTTCTTCTTTTAATTTGATTTATTTTTTGTTTTCTCAGTAATTTTATCTTTTGGTTTTATTATTTGTCTTATTATTTATTTGTTGTGTATTTGTTTTTGTTTTGTTTTTAATAATATTGTCGTTTATTTTTTATTAGTTTGTATTATTTTTTATTCATATTATAATTCTCGTCATTTATTATATAATTAATTTAATCATTCGGTTTATAATTAATTTCGTCATTTATTTATAATTAATTTAATTTTCAGTTTATAATTAATTTCGTCATTCATTTTATAATTAATTTCGTCATTCATTTTATAATTAATTTCGTCTTTCAATTTATAAATAATATCGTCATTTATTTTATAATTAATTTCGTAATTCATTATATAATTAATTTAATTTTCAGTTTATAATTAATTTCGCCATTCATTTTGCTAATTACTTCATCATTCATTAAGCTGTTTATACTCGTTAATCACATCAATTATTATCATCACTACCAATAAATTCTACCGACCAAAATTCTCGGGAAAAAAAATTTCACGTGTGAATTTTTGGAAGACAAAAATCACTAGTTATTATTGATGAGCATCACGTAGTATTAGCAGAAGGAAAGTCTGAATTCAGTCAATATTTGGTTAGGTTAGGTTATATTAATTGATTTTAAGGTGGGTTAGGTTAGATTAAGCTTCAATTAGTTAGGTTAGGTTAAAGTAAATTAGGTTAAGTGGTTAGGTTAAGTAAATTAGGTTAGAGGTAGGTTAGGTTAAGTTATGTTAGGTTAGGCTAGAGGAAGGGCAGGTTAGGTTAGGTTAATTTCCCACAGTAACACACACACACACACACACACACACACACACACACACACACACACACACACACACACACACACACAAATACAACCGTAAAAACATTTCCTCCAAATGGTTGCAGTTCCTTAAATAGGCAGAGAGGGGGAGGGAGGGAGGAGGAGGGAGGGGGGGAGGGGTGGAGGGGATTCACCGCTCGGTAACTCCATCAAGGTGAGTAATAGGTCAAGGTCATTAACCACCTGTAGTGTGTACCTATTATTTACCTGTCGGGGAATTTAGATCTGTAGAGACGTAGGAACTTTTTCATCGTATATGGGGGGTTGAGACAAGGTAGGGTGAGGTGTTGTAATGAAATTGGTTAGTTTTCTCACCGTGTCATGGCCTGTCTCGATGTGTCTGTCTGTCTGTCTATTTGTCTGTCTGTCTCCCTCTGTCTCTCTCTCCTTGTATGTATCCAGCAGTACATAGACTACTACTACTACTACTACTACTACTACTACTACTTCTTTTTTTTTTTTTTTTTTTTTTTAAACGTGGCCTCCAGCCTCCCCCAATAGCCACACCTTCGCCACCATTTATTTACCTTAATATTAACTATCCTAATACATACTACTACTACTACTACTACTACTACTGCCATACAACAACCAATTACGTAGTCCATACCTTATTCATAAAGTAATCGAGTCCAAGTACTTAAAACCTGTGTGTGTGTCGATCTGTCCTTTACGGGGAAAATGGTTGGTAGGACTTTTTTAGGATGGGAGGACTCTGACACACACACTTGACCCGGATAGGCACGAGGGGCTTCAAAGGTTAATGTGAAGTCCTTACCTCTAATGGACTCTGGTTCTATATAGCCACTTGACTTATAACTGATCATAACTTGTATGTATTTTATAGAGAAAAAACTAAGATTATTGTTAAGGTTTTTATATTAATGGATTTAAAATTTTATGTCAATGATGAAGAGCTTGTAAAAAAAATAATAATCTATACAAAATTTTGTTCCATCAATAAACTTACACAGAAAATATTATTAATTTTCTACGGGTATTTTTTTTTCTTCTACTCCATACAAGTTTGACCATAAGAAAATTTTTTTTTATTGGATTAACGTTAAAGTTAGGTATAATTGTTTGCCTGAAAGTTAGTTTTAATCGGTTTACCTGAAACTTGATTTACCTAGAAGTTTAGTTTTAATTGGTTTAACCAGTTGTAGTGTCCTCTGCATTGGTTTAATCTGAATTTTAGTTCGCTATTGCCTTTATCTGACAACGATACAACTAATCGATGAACAA